GTTTTTGTCCTGTCTCTTTCCTATTGTTGAATCATGAACTCTGACCTTAACCGAAGCCAGCGAGGCCTGGATGGAAAATAATAACAAATGTTGGAGGGAGTAAATACTTTTTCACTATGATGTTCAACATATAATATGAGCTGATAAAGTATTTTTTTAAAGTCAGCATGATGAGCTTGGTCATTTATAAATTAGCCAAACTTCTTCACTTAACATTATTTTGCTACATTAGATAACATCTAGCTGGTTTGCGTGGTAATCAGCCAAAAGAAAGACACAGTATGTTTTCCATAAACATCTATGGATCTTTTTGCAACCAAGGCATCACATCCTGGCCATTAATAAGAATGCAGGTTTAAGCACCTCCATGTTAGCTTTGCTTTTCAGACCCAGAAGCTACATTCACATTTTATACTGCACATGGTTTAATCTAGGTAATGTTAGTCCTATTTCCGGGGAAAAGTGCTAACTAACATAGCAGCTTGCTGGCTAACCATATCTTGATTCCTTGCCAATGCTGCCTCAAGCAAACTGCTGTTTGAACCAACATCTTTTTCTGTTGCTTTGTCTTTATATGGACTTTGTGTTTCACTGGGCGCTAAATGTATGTCATTATTAGTGATTATTGGACTCTATTGCTAAGATAACTTTAGCTAATGTTGCTTACTGTTGATTATTCCATTACAGATTAACTTGGAAGTCCAAATTACCTGGTTTTCAATTGTCTAGAGTGCCTCCTCAACTCGGATTTCCTACTCAAAAAGTGGGAGCAACCCCACCAACCAAGAGTTAACAATCTAAAATTGTGGCAGTGAATATAAACAGTAGTAAAACTGTAAAACTTAAAGTTAAACTGACCAAGCTCTATCCATAAATGTGTTGTAGCTGTGTTTTTGATAGTGATACATGAATGGCTCTAACTCAGAACCAAAACAAGGCCTGTTTTTTCTTGCTTTTCCCACTTTACTACTGGAATGCACTAACTCAAGAGTGATATCACTCGGGAGTTCTGAAATCTGACTTCCAACATATCTGAAAAACAATATTACTGGATGTGGAATAGAGGCACTGAGGAGTAAGTTACATACATAAGAATTGTGTTGTTCACATTGGAAACTGTTCACAGAATATTATAGGCAACTGAATAAGTCACAGAAAGTCTAACTTTAAACATTGTTTTACAATTATTTTTCAGCTTGACAGTAATGACAAAAAGTACATGAAAGGTTGTTTTTCTGATATTTGAAACACTTGGGGAAAAAAGTGATCATCATCTTATTCAGCAACAAAATTTTGTTACTTGCAACCCAATTACCTACATGGATCCATACCTATACTTATATGATAGAAGGACAAGAAATGACAGCATGTCATGGATTCATTTGGCATTAGGGTTTCATCTCCAGTCTTGATTTGGCTCACCACAGAGCCGGGGAAAGCCTCAGCTCAGAGAAACAGAAGCTGCTGATACCACTGAATAGTCATCTTCTGCATAAGTAAGACACCGAACTAGCAGATATTATGAGGTGACATGCCACAAGGACCTCAGTTGTCACCTCGGTTAATAAGATTAGGCTCTGACGGTATGGAGTGACAGATGATGAGAGGTAGGCATGACCTCTAGGAGATAATTCAGAGGACGGAGAAAGAGAGGGGCAGCACCGGAGCATTTGGAAAAATGATATGTCCGTTTTCCTGATGTCTACAGTAACAGTAGCCTCCAATTTAACATTCCATCCATCAAACACTGGTTTTATTTTTTTCCTCTTTTTTCCTCTTTTTGGCTTCTCTTTGACCTCCCTAAAAGAACAAGCTATGTTTCCCAGGGCCCAGCTATTTGAAGCTCATAGTTTTGGTCATCCAAGGTTTTTCTGTTCCAACTCAAGCCGTTCAGACACTGTCCCCACTTACATTTCCTCAATGGCAGGGTCCTGGGGTCCAGACCATAGCCGCCCTACACTCTGCCCACAGTTGAGTTGCCTCTGGCAGGACTGCTGCGTGCTTTGTGTGCTGGTTCTGGCTGCGGATCAGGGAAATCCCACAGTCTCTCCATGGTGAATGTCGTACGCCCTGCCAAGGCCATTATGCATCCCTTCAATGGCCGTGAATAGTAGCACACTACAGTACAGAAGGTTTAAGAGAAGTGCAGTTTGCTCAGGGCTACAGTGCAAGACCATGACACAGATACTGACACTGGTGAACTGAACTAAGAAATGATTTCTCCATACTGTGTCAGCCCACACTGCACTATAGAGGAATATAAAAAAACATCTGATTAATAACGTTCCTTAACAAAGTCTAAACAATCATTATTCTAAAAAAACACGAGATTATTCCACTAAGTCCAGTATTGCTTGTTTGACTTATTGTGGCTGAGTGAATACCAGCAGGAGGACTATCATGTAAACACTTAACACTCTTAAATATGGGGATTAACACTCATTTCATAATTTCCCTAGAGTTAACATATAGCGCACCATAATCACACTGATCTAACAATCTCTATGAGACCAAACCAATCATATTTCCCAATCTCCTGGGTTCCAGTTAACAGCTGCAATAAAATATATGTTGTTTTCACCTTGTGAGTCTGTGATCACTTTTACATATAAACTGTGAAAAATGTAAGATAATCACATGGGACATTTCCTGCACTCACTTTTATGCACGTGTAGAGGACACAAGAGATCACTAGAAATTCTCTGGTTTAGGGAGCACACATCACACTTCACTGGGTTGCTTTGAATTAGTCAATAACCTGCGCACGTGGGCACAACTGGACATCACACAGAGTTTGTACCGGACCACGTTTGAATTTATTGGTGGCCCAACTCATTAGTGCTAAGTACTCATGTAATAAATGTAGGGATGACTGCATATGGATCTGGAGGCATTGCAGCTGGTGTGATCGATTCATAAAATTGTCTCTAGTTTATTTACATTTCTTTTCCTGTCAGAAATTAAAAACTACAATTTAGCTGACACCTACTTTCCTTACTGCTTAAAATGGACTTTCTCTTGTTTGTCAGATTAGTGTCAAAATTTAAACCTAACAAAATAAAACTTGAGCTGTTTTCTGCACAGAGAAACATCTGCCTATTAATTTAAAGCTCGTGCACAGTGTTTCCCAGCACTACCACAATCTGGTGGCATACTGCAGTGGTGGATATCAAGATGAGTCACATCAGCTAGCAGGCAGCTGGCAGGCTTGCAGTATCAGCCTATCCTGTTAATCTTCCGATTAGTCTTCACTGATCCCATCAGGACTGCCTGGATCTGGGGTGCAGAGCCTAAAGGTTTATCCCACAGGACAGCCCTCCCTCTCCCTGATCATTACACGTACACACAACGAATGCGACTGACGCACAGGGAACACACAGCATAACCTAATTAGTTCAACTTTTTCTAATGCTGATCAAGAAGCAACACATCCGCAACACAGAGCCCAGAGACCCACTGTCCCCCTGCTAACATATCTGGAGCCCCAGCTGTCTTCTGTTTCAGGAGGGTGGTGGCTGTGAAATGTGTCACAGAGGTCAGACCCTGAAGTTAAAAGGGGAAAATTCTGTGCTCTTCTGACACTGTGGTAGTGGGAGTGGGGGGAAGGGGAAGCAGCCGAGTGGTACGCCATGACAAACTTCAAGGCTTCTTCAAGTATGGGGGCACCGGGAGCACACAAACACTCAGACATGTGTGAGCACCCAGTTACATAGCTGCTGTACGGTTGATGTAAGGCCTGAGAAACATGCCAACATCCCACAGACATCAATCAGAAAGTTAAACTCAGATTCAGTGCAACAAGCAAATTACAGACTAATGTGAATTTTATTATACAAGTTAATAATCTCAATTTGTGTTTGCTTAAATGACCCACATCCACCTATAATTGTGCTTTTTGTTGTCTTAACAAGGTTGATCATGGCAGCTAGTTCAGTGTTTCTTGGGTAAAGACTGGATACAGGAAAGAATCAACTTACTGATGGGAAAAAGGAATGCTGGAGGCAATTACCTCCCCTGACTTTCTAAACTTGGGTCAAAAGGGGAGCGGCTATAAACGCCTGGACACCAACAGAGGCAGACCTCTGACCAAGCGGGCCTTGTTTCACTCTCTCTCTCTCTGTAGCCACTAAGTTCAACTGGTGGAAGAGGCCATGGCTGTTTAAATTTACAGCACAATGTCATTCTGTGTCATGAGCAAACTACAATGTGTGTATTCATCCACTCCGAACACATAAGAGGACAGTACTGTTAATACTCTGGCCATTTTTAGCATATGAGGCAAGAAATAGCAAAATGTGTCACTGTAAAATAACCACTTCTTTCAGACCTAAAGTGTACAGGTGGTTACACACCTGCTATCTTTAACTGGATGATCTCACAGCAGCAGTAATTATGAGCGGTGTCAGCCAAGATGCCATTTACTGTTGCTGAACGTGTCTGGCAAGCTCAACAAGAATATAATACTTACTTGCCAACTAGGAAACTACAAAAGGTGTTTTAGCCAACCAAGTTTAATTATGCTAAAACCTGTAACAGGACATTGTTTTCTTAGAATGTGTTCACTTATCAATAAACTGGAGCAACCATAATGGCTGAAACTGCTCTAATTCTTGATTGCTTAAAAGATACACGTTAAATATTTTCATTTCGTAATTTTAACTTTAAAAAAAAATCCATTCATGTACAGCACAGGATTTTTCAGCTGTTAGGGCAAAGCTTGAGGAGAGCTGAATGAAACGGTCTGGAATGTACTATTACACTTTTAGGGGTTCGTGGATGTTATGTGGAAAACGCCATATATCTGCTTACACAATTTACTTATTTAAGTGCATATATGTTCATTTTCATTTAAAACGCTTACTTTTAAATAATTACGTAGGATACATTTCAATAGCTCCTTTTTGTACACGACACGGGATCCCAACAAGAAAAAAGAACACCCCTACTGTGGTAGCAGCTTGGACTGTACCAAGATGATGTTACGAACAGCCCTTTAAAGTCGCTCCACTTCCCAGATGAACTAGAGCGCCGTCACACAGTGAGAAGGCACGGACTGACAATCTATTATGTCTGAAAATGGTCTCTGTTTAGAAAGGCGATTTAAGAACACTAAATTTTTGACTGTGGGATGCTTATGGACGCGGAATCCAAGGAGTTATCTTTTTATTCACGTAAATGTAGGACGTGGCGTCTGCGAATACTCTTAAGTAGCCTAGCTTAAATTAGGTTAAAAGAAACGTGCTTTTTTTATTATTATTATTATTATTTTTTGCTCAGACTTGCGAAGACAACAGCGGCAACCTGGACTACTCTAGTGAAACAGGAATGATTTATCCTCCCGAAGGTTTATTCTACATCGAAATGGACCAAGCACCAGGTAAGTTAGGGTTAAAACCAGCCATTATCTGATCTGCGGGGGGTCGGGGAGCGTTTTATCAATGCCTCGCTTTCTTCTTCTTCTTTTTCTTATCGGTTAATATCTGTTAGTAAAGCTGACATCTGAGAAAATGCTGTGCAGGTGTCGGCAAAGCGTTGCAATGGTCAGGTCCTCAGTGCTGCGCTCTCCCAGTGGCATTGCCCAGGCATGCATAGCGCAATTCACTTGGCAATTACGTAATACCTTTCGGAGAACCAGGCGCAGTGGCTTGCCTCTTTTCTTTTGTCTCGGCACATATGGCAAACTTTGACAGGGATGCACTGCGGCTTTGCGTCGTCCCACTAAACCTAAACGACACGTACCCAAACGTGTGCGGCAGAGGAAAGTGCATTTTATAGAGAATATAGTCGCGAGTGCGTTAATGAACGACCGCTTTGTTCTCCACTGCAGCCAGCCGTGGTTAATTTGCTCGCTAGCTCAGAAAGTAGGCTACAGGCAGCTCGTCTCATGACTTAGCTCCGATAAACTCGCCTGCAGCTTATTTTGTAGCCTGTTTGCTTTTGCGTTATTACTGCGCCGAAAACGTTTAGCGAATGTGCTGTAGCCGATTTGAGTTATGTTATGTTAATTGAATTTGGCCAATTGATTATTAAAAAAAACTGCGTCAGAGTCCTTAGCCTTAATACACTTATTTAATTTACGAATAGCTATACTAAGTGGGCTACAGTTAATTAAGTAGCTTGCAGGAGAGGTTTATGAGAGCTTCTGAAAATCTGTGACGACTATACAGGGTGTAGGAAGCACAACAAAAATGAAGACAGTGGGTCAGCCAGTTTGTGTTGTGTGCGTTTCAGACTTAATTTGGCATCTTTTTTTTATAATTTCTTGCATGCATTGCTAGTGCATGTACTAGTGCAAGCATGTGGCGTTTGGAAGCCGGTGGAGTGTTTTTTGGCAGGACTCCGTGGGAGGAAGGGGGGGAGGGAGAAAGGTGTGCAGACTTAAATTTTTTTGCAGAGTTCAGGAGCCGCAGCGTTTCACTGAACTGCTGCACCTGTCTTTTGTTTATTTTTGAGGTCAGGAGGAGGGGGTGGAAGGTGAGCGGATGGTGGGAGAAAGCCACACTTTCCCCTGTGTGAGGGTGCTCTTGTATTCTCCCTAACTGCCTCGTGAAAGGCACTTTTGTCCTGCAGTGAAATATATCGCCCTTCACTCCTCTTGATGCGGTTTCCCCTCGTTTTTCATTTTTAAGGAAAACGCTTAGTCTTCAAGCCAGAGTCACGGATCCCCCCCCTCCCTCTTCCTCCCTTCAGGGTTGATGGAAAACTTATGATCTCTAAGCTCGCAATGGTTATAAAATGAAAAGGGTGGTCCAAGAGACTCAAAATATAATTTATAGCCTATTAAATGCCAGTCATGCAATTCAGGACAGTGCCAGAGGCAAACTTTAGAGAATGGACTTTAATTTATTTCACAAGAGTTGGATACTGGTTAGTGTGTAATGGTTTTTATAATTAAAGTATTTGGAATAATTAATTTTAAAAAAACAAACAAATTTAATAGTTAACTCATAAGCTATATTTCTATTTTTAGTAATGACAGCACTGAAGATCTTGGTAATGATTTGGCAACTTGGAAACTTGCCCGGGCATGTTCTCAGATCTTGTCAGGCTTCATCAAGCAAGGGTGTTACAAACTGTGTGTGCCTCATTTGCTGGCTGGATGGATAGGGAGGGGGGGTCATAATATTGAAGGGGTCATGTTTACCGTAACTGCTTAAGTAGATCTTGTGGCAGATTGTGTTAAATTCTCTAAGAAAAGAGGGGGAAATTTGCATTTCATTCCATCCTCGTTTTGTCTTTCGCATGCAGCTCTCCCTCCCAGGTCAACAAAGCCACCATCTTCCACCATGAACAGCAACTGCCTTTCGCCTCCTGCGCATTCGCTACAGGACGCTGAATGGTACTGGGGTGACATAACAAGGTAAAGGATGAGAACATCCGCAGTCCTTCAGCAAATATCCCATCCTTTCTTCAAAGATCTCGTGTGATGTTTTGATTGTTAAACATATTGGCACGTTGAATTCCGTTAAGCATTAACTGACTTCCCACAGGGAGGAGGTAAACGAGAAGCTCCGAGACACACCTGATGGCTCCTTTCTGGTGCGCGATGCATCCACAAAGCTGCAGGGAGACTTTACGCTGACATTAAGGTAAGATGAAGAGAAAAGGAGCACAGTGATTCCAAGCGCAGCGCTAAAAGAAAATATTAATGGTGAGTTTTTTCTCTACTCAAATTTTTAGAAAAGACGGGCACAACAAGCTGATCAAGATTTACCACCGTGACGGGAAGTATGGCTTCTCAGACCCTCTCACATTCACGTCGGTGGTGGAGCTCATTTGGTACTATGAGCACCATCCGTTGGTGGAATATAATGCCTCACTGGATCTGATGCTTACCCATCCTGTGTCCCGTTTCCAGCAGGTTCGTGAGTAAATACAAATTTGTTTCTTTTTACTTTATAAACACAAGGATACGCGTCGTCTAAGCAAATGAAATTTCTGCGTTTAGGTGAAAGAGGACAGTGTGGATGTGACTGGAAGAAAGCTTAAGGAGGTCCACAGTCAGTACCAAGAGAAATCAAAGGAGTTTGATCGTCTCTACGAAGCCTTCACAAAGACCTCACAGGTTAAAAATGCAGCCTTTTAAAAAAAAAAAAAAAAAAAAAAAAATCTTTTCTTAATGGTCTGATTTACTTTTAACAAATGCCTGAGTCTTTTCTGAATGGATATACTCTGTATGACACAGGAGATCCAGATGAAGCGCACGGCGATAGAGGCTTTTAATGAGACTATGATGATCTTTGAGGAGCAGTGTCGTGAGCAGGAGCGCTACGGAGAAGAGTTTGAGAGAAGCAGCCATTTGGAGGGAATTGACAAAGATTTGGAGAGGTACTTCATTGCACAGTGGGCGGGGGGCTCTTAAAATGTGGGTGCATTTTGCACATAAACCCCTAAACTCTGGTCACACCTGTGACCTGTCCTTTCCCTCATCAGCTTTCTGATACACTACGAGAAGCTGAAGTGTCGTCTCGCAGAGATCTATGACAGCAAAATTCATTTAGAGGAAGACTTGAGGACGCAGGTGGAGGATTACAGAGAGACGGACAGGAAGATTAACAACCTGCGGCCAGACCTCATCCAGCTACGCATCATGAGAGACCAGTACCTCAAGTAAGTGGCATCAGAATATTGTTTTGTGGCATTTGTGGTAACAATCATTAGGGATTATAATGTTTAGTTTTTTTTCTTGCAGCTGGCTTAATCACAAAGGCGTACGGCAGAAACGCATAAATGATTGGCTGGGGGCACATAACGACAGCCTTGATGAGTAAGTTTAAACACATTCTTTTTATTTTAATATAAAAACGTTAATTTTAATTAATAAATATAACTTGTTAATGGAAGACAGAATTGAAAGAGACATGACAACCACCTTCTTTCTTTCAGTACATATGTGCTAAAGGGAGATGAGAAGAATTTGCCACATCAGGATGAGACGAGCTGGTTTGTTGGTGAACTGAGTCGGACGCAGGCAGAGGAGATGCTTCAAGGCAAAGTCCCTGGAACATTTCTGATCCGCGAGAGCAGCAAACAGGGTTGTTACGCCTGCTCCGTTGTGTAAGTCCAGCATTTTGGCCCCAAAAAATGGAATCTGTTTGAGATGCTTGTTGCTCTTGATTTGATCACATGACACTTACAGATGTCCTTCTTTCCGTTAAAGCGTAAACGAAGAAGTCAAGCATTGCATGATCTACAGCACACCGCACGGATACGGCTTTGCCGAGCCCTATGATGTCCACTGTTCACTGAAAGACCTTGTCCTGCACTATCGCCTGCACTCATTAGTGCAACACAATGACGCCCTGGATGTGCGGCTGTCGCATCCGGTGCACGCCAAAGCTGCAGCCACACCTTCACAGCATGCAGAGGAACAACACAAACTGATACAGACTCCAAAACACACGTCAGGGATGGCCCCTGCCGCTCCGGAGATGTAATCCAGTGGTGACAGACAAAAGGACATGTTTACTGCGAGAGACTGCATCAGGGTGCATTGTATAAAAAATTTTTTTTTTTTGCACTACAGTGATTCCAACGGTTTTATGAATGGGATTTCACAGAAGTGGAACCGCAACTTGAATGTCAGCTTGAATTTTTTTTTTTTTTTTTTTTTTTTTTTTTTTTTTTTTTGTACTTCATTTATTGCCATTTGTTTAACACACACCTTTTGGGTAGGGGTGCTGACCACCTGAGATTTACTCACCGACGTCAGATGCTGCACTTTTTCTTTAAGCCAAGAATTCACATTGCTAGAGATGTTTTGAGTTAAAAGTTTTTAAAATTGGATTAAATATTGGATTATTACTACAAAGTGCTTTTGTGGGGGTGGGGTGGGGGAATGGTGTAAACATGTGGTTTCATCCAGGTGGTTTGGAGGGCCAAGTTTTGTTTTGTTTTTTTTGGGTAAAATGCCACATGAATTTGTGAAACGTTGCGGTGCATCTTGGTTATTTCCACCCCCCCCTTTTTTTTTTTCTTTTTTTTTCTTTTTTTTATATAAAATAAACTGACATTCATATACAGTGGATAATTATGTAGCATTAACATCCTGTAGAATACCATAATAAGAGCATATACCCATTGACCAAAACACTAAATATTGAGCAGAACTACATCCCTGTTTAGTCCAGTAATTGCATTTGGGCAAGGGTAGGGCAGTTTATGTACACCTGCTGATCAAAACATAATCTGAAGTACTGTATGTTATATTCTGTTACTCAAAGAAGTATAAGCTTTTTGTATTCTATATATATTTTTTCTATAAACATGCCACAAGATGAAAGTGCAATCCAACAGTATTTCTATTGTTGCAATGTATGATGACGGTGGTGGTGGTGGTGGTGAAGGTATTGCTGTTGCAAGAGGTTGACATTTGCCACAAAAATGCACTCTTTAGTGGCCTCCAATGTTTGTGTGAACTGCCAGAGGTCCGGAAGTATCCTGCCTCCATTACTTGAACTGTGGCATTGCTTGAGCTATGAATGTTTTTTTTCCATGACATGCAGCCTACATAGCTTAAGAGGAAAGGAATCCATGTTGAACTTGGCACATTTTTCGAGTTTGAGGACAATAGATGCTCTGTACAGAGACACAATAAAAGTGTATTTCTAAAGGTTGCTTTATGGAAGTAGGTTGTTTAAGCCTCTTAAAATAATCAAACTTCACTGGGGGACTGAGGAAATTCCTCAGGTGACGCTAAGCAATGTGAGATCCTGACCTTTTTCTTGCTGAAAGACAATAAACTGATGATGGTTTTGTCAACTAATTCAAGTCTGTTGCTAACACTGTTCAAGAAACACTTTTTAAAAATTATTATTATTCACATTAATCATAAAAAGGTTGAAGGCAGCTTTGTTATTTTTCTAAGTGCTGTTAAAGTTCCAGTGACCTAAACTATGCTTAACACTAACTTACGTTGGGTTTAGTCTTTACTGAAGCCATGGTAGTCCAATGAGCTTATCTTTGAGTTTGCCAAGGTGGGAGACAGCGAGGGCACTGGAGGACACGCTGCAGACAGATGGGAGAGAAAGGAAGCGATAAAGACAATAGCAGGATGTGCGCAGGCTCTTCCGTACTCAGCCTGACTGCCGTTGAGTCACTCCAAAAAATTTTTTAGGAACATGCTTTGCATGGCTCTCACATGCATTTTCAAATTTTTGATCCTTCTGTAAAGGAAAAAAAATCAAATTAACATTTGGTACTTGAGAGCAGCTTGGGTTTTTTTCCTTCTAGGTTTATCACACAGTCGGCATCAAAAAATGTCTGACAATTACACTGAATTTGCTAATTTCACCAGTGCAAAATCCTCAGAAAAACACATGTATTGCCACTGGGGTGTATGATGATAATGTTGACCCTGGATGACACCACCACTGGCCACCTGTGTGACCACAGCAACAGGTGGCCTCTTTCAACCATCACAGAAGGTCTGTGTTAGGTAAGGATTAATGAGGTGCAGAGGGCAGGGATGTACTGGGGGAGAGTTCCAGGCCACGGATTACTACCTCTTACCCGTGTTAGCATGGGGAGTGGGTGGACAGGCAGCATGCAAGCCTGGCTAGGACTCACCAGACGCAGAGTAGCTAGATAGATAGCACCACAGCCCTCAAATGGTAAGAGTCACATCATGTCTCATTCACTCCAATTGATTTTTTTTTTCACCAATTGCATATCATGGAGCCTTGCTACCATTCCTGAAATTTAGCAACATACCTGTGGCATAGAGATATAGCAGCACAGAAGTTTGAATTGCATTTTCAAAATTTAAGTTGTTTAAAAAACAAGAACATATTTGTGGATTATTCACCAACAAATTGGTAGATTTTGGATAGGTTAACTGATGTTAGATTAAATCACAAAAACTCATATTAGCAACCAAGAACAATTGTTGAGTAATTGCAAATGACTTTATCTTAATGTTATTTCATCCAGCATTATGAAATCAAGCTCCAAAACTTGACTTTTGCAGGGTCGGTCAAGTGAAATATTACCTAAATATAACAATTATATTTATTTTTGTTTATATAGTGCCAAATCATAACGGCAGTCACCTCAAGGCGCTTTCAACAAATGTATTCACGGTGGAAATTACCTAATGTTATAAAATAACAATTGCATAACATAAATGAGAAACTATTCTAAATGTCTAAATAAATGCATTTGATTGTATTATCTATGTTATATTAATCCTGTATTGTGGAATCAGTATATATTGATTGCACAAATTCAAGTGACACTTGACACACTTTAACATCAGCAGCTAATTATCTCCAATAACTTGAGCTGGGTAATAAAAACTACACCTCATCTGATGATGCATTTACCTAAATAAAGATTTAGCCTGAAGACTGGGCTTTTACATATTTCCCCGCTTCTTACTTTTGTCATACCCCGAACATTAGGCTTTGCAGTGCTCTGGTCTTTGTTTGTAGCGCTGCCTCTCTATATTCACATATATTCCAAGTGGCCGCTAAGCACTTCCGTAGTCTTACTGTTCGAGGGCTCTGGATAGGACAGAGTGTACCAATGAGTCACCCTCAGGCGGCTGCTTGAGTGTCCCAAAGACAGGGAGAGGGTTGGAAGAAAAATATGTGGGGCAGGAAGGAGAGCGGAGAAAGTGCAGGGCCTATTTCTCTCACTGCTGGTTATTAAAATGAAGGCTTGAAAGGTCAAGCTGGGCCTTTTCTACATTTTCTTTGCACATAAAATACACTGCCACATGGCTATGACCCCCAAACTATAAGCTTTTATAGCAGTTTGGCTATCACTGCTAACATCTACTTTCGCCTGGCTTCCAGCTATAAGAGTTGAACGTATGTAAAAACCCAGCCCCCCCTACATATTTTTACTCAGAGGCCCTCTCCCTCCACTTTTTTTTTCTTGTCAGCACACCTCAGTGCTACAACTCGCTTACTAGTTCTCAATTTAAATAAGTCCCGACTGGAGTAGAGGGGGGGTAGCAGAACGAATTACCTTTGGAGTCACGCCTAAAACACACACACCATCAACTGTCTTGCAGGCTTTCAGAAAAAAAAGGTTTTCGCTTTCAGTTTGCAGCAGCCAATCGCGTCTCTCCTCTCCTCTGTCTCCGTCCGATTCCACGGTTTCACGCTACGCGATTAGCCAATGGCAGTCCGAGAATATGCCGCAGGTTAGCCAATCAGCAGTCAGTTGCTATGTTGGAAGCAGAATCGATAAGAGGGATTTTTTCCCCCTCTCTGTTTTTTTTACAAGCTCACAATATAGCTGGCTTATAGGCTGAAGGCAGGAGATCCTGTTGCCTGCCAACAAGCATGTAGGCAACAGACTGAACCATTAAACGCCATGCAGACACATTTCCTTTGATACCGCCACAAATAACAGCTTAGATGTCACTATGCTGTGTATGTGTCTGTACACACACATATATCTCAGGAAGAAAGTTAACAGGTTGGATTCCCGACCCCCACTGAGCTGTTGAAGTCATGGAAAAGAAAATTGTTTGAGCCTGGGCGAATTATGGTCAATGATGCACATCAAAGTTTCTGAGTGAAAATGATGTTGTGAGTTTGTCCCCTTTTTTGTTTTCCCCTTCTTTCAGTACTTTTTCCTCCAGTGTCTCGGTCCGTCTAAGGAGAAAAACGCCCCGTATTGTTACTATACTTAAAGCAAATCCAAATGTATGCAATGCTATACTTGGTGCTGTACATATTCATCACAATATTAAGGTCAGTAATTTCTGGATTAGATTGTTAAGCCATATGTTCTCCCAGTGACCCAGAACGGTCGAGATTTCTTGCTGTGGGCTACTGGTATGTGTCCTCAAGCAAAATGTAAACAAAAATCACACTAACCTAATCAGTTTGGAAAAAGATGCAGTTATTGTATAAGTTAACCTGTATTTGAAGTTGACTTTTAGAAACTAAAATCAAACTTTAATGATTGGATGGGCTCAGTTGGAAATAGCATTAGTCCTGGATACAAGTTGATCTAAAATAACGAGTTATTATTGGCATATATTTTGCTATAACTGAGTGACCTCTGGTAGCTTTGATTTGAACAAAGAGACTCGGATCGCACTGGAACAGGAGGGGACACTGATCCAGCTCAGACACAGGGATGAGACACAATCAGACACAATGCTGTTTGTTGACAAACCATCAGGATCCAGAACCACAGCCAAATCAGATTTTCAGATACCGCCTTAGACCAGGGATCGGCGATCCCTCCAGTTTTAAAACAGGTAGAGCAGGACGCCCTCAGCGACAGTTGGGGTGATTTTCCTTCCTCCTACTTCATGCAATATTATGTTGTGCTATTTCTTAAGGGAAGGTGGGGGTGGGGGAATCACCTATTAAATGAAGCATCCCATCCTTTCTAAAGCTGGACAATCTCATTGTGGTACTTCAGCTCTCAAATAGATTAAAAAAGAAGAAAACAAGAAGCAGCAGCAAGGCACGTGGCCAGAAAACTAAAGTGGCACAAGACTGACAGACACTGCTTGGTCTGAAAACATAAGGCTGATGATGATGATGGTGGTGGTGGTAAAGGAACGAAGGAGTTACACACAAAGACTGCAGCAAGAAGGAAAGTTCACTATTAAGTATCTGCTACAAGTTAGAAGAATATCACACAGATTCTCCCATCATCATAGGGAAATCCCTTGTTTTGTGTTATCGGGTAAGCTTTTAATCTGAAGCCTTTTACTCCTATATGCAGCTTTAATCTGTCAGTTTCATTTCATAATGTTTTTCTTTCTTGGTAAAAGAAAAAAAAAAAGGATAGAGCCCCTGATGGGGGGAAAAAAGTCAGACACACTGCACTTAAAGTGGAATGGCAATTATGGTGAGCACTTTCCATAGGATGACCTTCGCACTATTTACTTTGTCTCCCACGACATGGGGAAATTCTGGGTACAATCACCGCAGCGGAGAGACAGGATGACCAGAGAAAACAATGATGACAAGCAAAAAACTCTGGAGGGGGAAAAAAGAGGGACTTAAAAAGAAGAGCATTTTCACACACTGTAAGAGTTTTCAACCAGAGGAAGTATGTCATCATATTCAAGTTCATTTTAGTACCTCACCTTAAACCTTAAAACCTGTTTTACAAGAGACACCTCCCCAGGCAGCAGGATGGAGAACAAAAGGCACACTTTCATGCGACAAATACACCTCTGTCACACACACACGCACACACACACAATTCATTTTCATGATTATTATTTTATATAAGAGTCTAAACTTCAGCCTGGATTTTCTATGAATGTCTGATGGGCATGTTGAGTGTGCAGGGAGCATGTATGTAACATGTACCATCTGTGTTGGAGGCTGCTGTCACACGTCAATGAAACGCTAATGAGGCTCTTGAATTGCAAAGTAGCACAGATCACCTCACGACTGCTAAAAATGAAATAATGTGACTGACACACCAAGTGGAAAGTGACAGAGGGAGAAAGAGCTCACTGAAGGATGACAAAGAGCCCTATCTGATAAATAGAACACTATATGATTAGTATTTGACTGGGATAAATATGTTACACAGTAAAAGAAAAATAACAATAATAATAATCGGGCAAGGAAAATGACCTTTAATGACAATTCAGTATTTCAACACCAGAGAACTTTTAAACTTTTAAAGAGCCACTTTAAGTTAGGATATACAAATCCCTCACAGGTCATAGCACGATAAAGAGACTCGAGGAGAGAATTAAAGTTACATGGAGCTGTTTGCTTTCTAAGCTTCTTCAGTTTCAGGTTTTAGCTTTGTCTTATTGGTTTACTCAGA